CATACTTTGAGCACTGACTGGCAGCTCATTTTGATATATACATATATATATATATATATATATATATATATAGGAGTGTAATTTACTGACAGCTGCCTTGCGTGTTTCTCTGGGATATAACCAGACGTTGAATAATCAACTGTGAGCACGTTAGTTTTCGAGACATGTTTGCACACATGCCTTGTGCTTACGGAAACAAAGTTTCCTGATTCCGGCTGGGACTCGGTTTGGTACTTTTTCCTCGATAACTGGCAGGTGATATTCAACCTGGACTAGACTTAATTCGATTTCACTTTTGGTGAATTTTTTCTCGGGCATCATGGACGAACTGAATGGGTAGGCCGATCTAAATGAAGCCCCCGTCACTGATGCGTTTTTTAATCCACATCGTAAGCTTTAAACTGTTGGGTCACCATGGACAAGAAATTTTGGTAATAATAAATTATTTCCATATATGGGCAGCGGATAGCCTACTCTGTTTCTTTTATTGATTGTGGATATTGAGCTGTCGGCCTTTTCAGGCCACATTTTTATCGGTGAGAATTTTCTGTGAAATATTAGTTGAATCAGCGGTATTCGCAGTCCAGGTGTTCCCACCTGATTCGGGTTGTATAACGATTACCGAGCTCATGCTTTTATGTAATTTTATAGATTTCTACAGACAGTGAATGCTATTTTTGACATTTGGTAAAGACATTTGTACAAAATAGGACGTGGGGTACCATTCTTTCCTGAATTTATCAATCAGCATCAAACGGAGAGAGATAAAGTTTGCCAAAATGGAGCTGATCTATGCTGAAGGTGAAAAGTCCCATGAACGAATGATGGCAGCCAAGTTGAGATCTTGTGGCGCTGAATACCAGAGTTTTCGCGATAAACTGAACAAAGCAAAGGAACAGTATGCCATAAAATTGGCCGGGGACCCCAATCTCCACAAATCAGCCGCGCCTGCTTTCATTACAATTCTGAACATCGAGTCCATCGATTCTGCCGCTCGTGTGATGGACCTACTGGCCGATATCTTCCTCTCCGTTCTGTCTGTGCGAAGAACCAAACTTAGAGCGGCTTCGCCACCAAAGGATCCAAACCTAATTTCCGACAACTGGACAAGCAATTCCGGAACGGAAATGACAAAATCTAACAGCATCCAATCGCAATTCATTCCTCGAATGGACTTGACGTCATTTCGCACATTCTGCAGGTTAGTTTTCCTTTATGTCAAGCGCTCATTTTCGGCCCCTGTTCGGTTTACTTTCTTTGTATTACTTTAGAAACCATTCCCTGTATGTCCGAAAACCTCGGAGTGCCCTACCTTTCGCTGCCTACAGTCGTAAGTAAAAGCTGCGCAGCATATCAGCGATTGGGATTGCTGTTTTTGGAAAGGTGTGGTTTCTCTATAACCATAGATCTTACCAACTCAGATTTGGACTTTGTTTTAGTAAGTTGGATTGGCCATCAAACACTAAGATGGACCTTGAATACACATCGGGGCAGGAGATCTTTGACAACATTGAGCTGTCATCGAACCATATTCTGATCATACAGCGCATACAAAGGTAACAAAAGAGAAGGAGTGCCCCCATATTATCATTTGCACACTTATTGGTTTTGATATGCGGCTGACTAAAACTCTGGGCAACAAGTGTCGTAGCCAATCAAAGATCACCTTTGTGAGTAGCATGTTACATCCAGGGTAACAAGGATTTGAATATCAGACATTGAGATGATGAGGGAATCGTGCCTGATTGGGATGAGTATACTAACATAGCATCAAGTTGTAACTCAGTTGTAACTCGGTAATTGGTCTGATAGACGAACAAACATAGCTGAACCAAATAAGAAGGTGACACAAAAGAGTTGTGTGGATTTGTTTGGTTGGACTATCACTCATACTAAAATAGGAACAAACTTACGGGATCTCCATTCAGCTAAGAAGGAATCCTTACACAAGTATACAACTGTACATTTCAGTATGGCACCAGGACTGGTCTGTGGCCTCTATGCTGCGGGATGAGTTGGATAACACATCATTTCTCACATTGTATTGCGGTGTTTGACAAAGGTTTGGGGCCAGAAATAATCACAGAAGCTCCGGTCGACTCGAATTCTGATTCTGAGTTTGATTTGTAGTTCAAACTGCCAAATTTTATGACCGGTTTAGGCCTCTGCGGTTTAGATCAAACAGCAATTCATTCCTGAGTCAATTTGGAGGATCACAAAGAGCTCCAAGACCCCTAAAACTCGAAATTAAGATTCAAGTATTAGGAGGAGTACTGTATTTATCAACAGTTTTGTCATACACTTGATTTCTTTTCTAGGACATTGAGGCGACTTTTCGACTGTAACTTTGAAGGTCCAGACACTGTTCGATGCGTTGGCTTTTTCTGAATCGCCATCTCTCTTGATGCGTGAGCTGATAACCACTGAACCGTATAAATAGCTCCGGCGAATAAATGTTTTGAACCAGTCACGTACTTTTCACTCCGTGAAGTATTCCAGCCTGAATTCTGTTCTATTAGCTCAGAGTTGTGCAGAGCGAAAAAATCCAATATACTGTTTTGGAAGCCCTTTCACCTTTTCAGACGATCTCGTATGGATGCCCTGGGTTTCTCGTTCACCGAACTTGACCTGGTATTTGCGAAACACCGAAACTGGTGGCAGCGGGTTTACGAGCCAGACTTGTCCAGACAAGGACGGGGTGAGTAGCATTTATCGTGCTGAACTGTTTGGTTTGTAGGCGACTTGTACCGTCCTGCATGCTTGCAACAGTACGTGTTTCATGTGGGCCTGAAACTGGAGTATGTACAATAAATATCAAAGTATTTCATTTTACGTCCAAATCCTACTACGTCTTAGGTGAAGTTCATCAATCCAACTCTCAGTTTGGGTTCAAATGAATACTGAAGTAATGCACCATTCGGAAAGGGGAACTTTCAATTCATTCACGGAGCAACTCAACACCCGAACGCTCAAACTGCGTAAATGGAGCGACAGTTACAGTACCCCGTCTGATTACTGACCAACCATCCATAGTTGTTTAGCAGTTTTCAATTCATATACTAAATAAAGTCGAATAGTATCGGTGTGACATTAGGGTTTCTAGTGTAGCAGAACAAGGACAAAACTACCTAGTAACTCCACTTTTCCTGAGAAGATGAAATTGCAGTGCCCGCATGATGGGTGCGACTTTGTTAGAAATTTGGGAGCTCGGAAAGTGGCCGTGAACACACTTTTGATGCAGCCGATTAAACCTGTTTTGTATTTTAATGGGTAGAAAGTAAGCATTGAAAGCAAAACAGGATTACTTGAGTGATCAGTGGAGAACACACCCCGGTCGTATCAGCTCGGTATTAGGGCTCAAATGACTTCCCCCCCCCGTCGCAATCTTGAAAGATGGGTGATGAAGTCATGAGTTAGTGGTGTCAGACTGATCAGACAGACTGGTCAGACTGACCCAGTCCTAACGAGACTTTTGGCTTCACTTTTCTTCGCCTTATGTCAGTCCTTGGATTATTGGTTCCAGTCTGTCTGACCACACACCTTCAAGGGCTAAAACAATTCCAAAACTACAAACCATCAGTAAACTTAGTATTTCTGAATTTCCAAGGCGCATTCGCATCGTTCACACGATCTGTTCTCCTTAGCACGCTTGGCCAGCAAGCTAAACTACGGAATTTTGTCATCGCAGTTTTGTAATCGCAAAATTCCGGGCGTGTAAGAATATAACAGAAAGCTTCCCCACACGCAGTGGTGCCCGTCAGAGATGCTCAACCTTTCCATTCCTATTTAATTTATAGATCGACGAGATCGTAAGACAAATACTGGAGAGCCTCCGAAACCCGGATGCTCAAATAGCTGCTGACGAATTCGTAGTTGATGTGGAATATGCGGACAACATCCTCCTCGTCATCGGAGGGGAGCGAAAGGCCGAGGTGTTTTTGTATGAACTAACCAACCACCAGTGTCAACCACAATTCAAAGAGAGACCTTAGTCAGTAGAGCGTTTTACGTACCTTGGAAGTTGCACTAGTTCCGACTGTGACAGATGGAGTCAGTGCACAAACCATCAGGGCTCGGCTTGTCTTTGAGATTCTGAGACACTTGTGGCACCAAAGTGTCCCATCCTTGCATCTCAACAGAAGCGTCCATCAAGCCACAGTGCGGGCTATCTTCTTGCTTGAACGTGAGACTTTGTCTCCTGAAGCAGCGAAACTGAGAACCATAGTTTATGTAAGCTGCCATCGGCGAGCTCTGACAATAAATTTAAAGAGCGAAATTTCGCTTCAACTACGGGGACTTCCGTCCAGCACCAGAAGCTGTGTCGGTTAGGCCGTCCTCACGCCGTGCACTGATGATGTCTCCTTCAGATTTGTGAGGTCTTCTGTACTTTTCTTGGTTCATTGAAGTATTTCAGCAAATCCTAATAAACCTTGTTTTCTATGTGTCAGAACCTGCATCTGAAGGACCAGACTATTTCCTGGTCCATCAGCTGGTTAACGGGCATCTAATTTGCAGGAAAGTATACTAATCGGACAGTGGTAAATCTATCCCCTAACGGGAACAGGGAGTATTTCCGATTAATTTCGATCAGTCGACAATTCTCTTGATTACATTGAATAACGGACTCCAGAACCGATATATTGTCATTCCAGAGAGCTTCCATATGTTTGGGTGTATTAAAAGTGGCGTTAAATTAACGCGGTTCAAGGATCTCGAGTTGTACTTACCTGTTACGGGAGGCGTCAGTTTTCCAGCCTCCATATTCAACCGACTGATGTCGTTTCTAGCAACAAAACTTAGTTGGAGGCGCAACCAAGAAAGGCTGTTTTATATCTTGAGGAGTCATCACCTTCTACCCCTGGGTCACACTTCATTTACGTCACAATTATCACTGTATATGAATGCAACTGACCAGAGTACTTAGGAAGAAATTAAAGGGAAGAACACGCATCACAGTTCTTCTTCGAAGTCAGGCAATTATGACCTCTGAGCTACTGGTAGAACTAAGCAGTGTGGTGACCCAATTCAGCTTGAACGCGTGAACCTACACGGACCAAAGACAGATTAAACTCACATAGATCCGTTGATCCTTTGCAGCTGCGCACATTTCAACATGCATCTCACATTCACGGTCGCCCAATCTATTGATCCAACGGCTTACTCACATCGGGCTGACAAATCACACACCTTTCAAAGAGAGTGGTACTTAGAACTATGTTTCCACCACCTGATAGTGGTCACCCGTAGATTTTATTTTAACTGGCTAAAATTTCAGTCTTTAGGCACAAACAAGAGCTCGGTAAAACTGTACAGTAAAATTCAGCAGCACTTTGTTTTATGCATGCAGGCTAACTCAGCCTTAGTTGATGCACGAGCTCGGATTGAGGGCTGCTTCCACTAACGTTGGTAATATACATCCCCCCAATGGGGCGCTACAAGACCGTCCGATAAGTTAACGGGATGCAATTGCTGTTTAAAAAAGTGTCAAACATTCAGTGAAACTATTGTTGAGCAAGGGTTTCACTTTTGCCACAAAAGATTCCTTTGTCCAGGTGAGTGGACCACTGTGTTTGCGGGATACGTGGCCACCAAACAAGCCATCAGCAAGACCATTCTTGATTAAAACACTGAATCGGAGTTGCATGTCATTCCAAAGACCTTGTCGGTTGTTTTGTGTGTCCGTTTTACGACCAACTGATTCAGAGATTCCGAGAGGCGCTTAATCATGACCATCTCCATACTTTTGTGATGTCACAAATCGGTTCCTGGACAAGGTGTGAAACAGGTTTATGGGCATGTCTAGCTCTACTGATCAACCCCGTTTTTGCTAGTTTCAGGAACCCACTCAACTGCCGAAAAGAGATAGCGGACGTTTTAGCCGTCTATTAGAGTTGAGTAAAGGAATCTGTCAGTTCATGGATATTTCTGTGGATTTTATGATGACATTTCTGATCTAATTTTTCTGCTTGAAGTCTGTTGGGTGTCTAAATATGTCAGGAATGTTTCTGTTACATCAGATGATGGTATAGTAGTTGTCTAGAATGAGTAAGAAGGTGACACTTGAACAGCCTTTCTGTAAGAATAAACAGTGTTCTTAATAGGTCGTTACTAGTGACTGAAAAGCAAAACTGATACGAAGCAATTTACCGTATCCCTCATATACAGGGGCATGCAACGTTCTATGATAGAATGCAAAACAAATCCTGGCGAATGCCGCGGCACCATGGGGACCACTCTCGTGGTCGTACCGAGTTTTTTAGATGAAGGAAGAAGAGTAGCACTTGACGCTCGACGTCCGAATTCGTCAAAGTCAAGCTGATGGAATTGATGGACAATCTAACGAGTGAAATTAGACGTAACGTAATTTGTTGTAAAAGCATAATGGCACCATAAATGACTATTCACCTATAACACGCTTTCCGTGCCTAGCTGGCATGCCACCTAAATCAAGCACGCAGGCTGAGATACCACCAAGTTGACCCAGCCTAGACAGGCGCAGTCGAGATGTCAGAGTCGGGTTGGAATCAAACCTTCGGGTTAAAAAGTTTGCGCCTCAACCACCACCTCTTAGCTCAAAGCATCATAATGATCACTAAAAAATAGTAAACTTTGAAAAATCCATATACGTCACCTATCGTTTAGAAATCGTGTCTCGTTTGGCGGTAAATTTAATAGGTATGTATGTATGTATGTATGTATGTATGCATGTATGCATGTATGTATGTATGTATGTATGTATGTATGCATGTATGCATGTATGTATGTATGTATGTATGTATGTATGCATGTATGCATGTATGTATGTATGTATGTATGTATGTATGCATGTATGCATGTATGTATGTATGTATGTATGTATGTATGCATGTATGCATGTATGTATGTATGTATGTATGTATGTATGCATGTATGCATGTATGTATGTATGTATGTATGTATGTATGCATGTATGCATGTATGTATGTATGTATGTATGTATGTATGCATGTATGCATGTATGTATGTATGTATGTATGTATGTATGCATGTATGCATGTATGTATGTATGTATGTATGTATGTATGCATGTATGCATGTATGTATGTATGTATGTATGTATGTATGCATGTATGCATGTATGTATGTATGTATGTATGTATGTATGCATGTATGCATGTATGTATGTATGTATGTATGTATGTATGCATGTATGCATGTATGTATGTATGTATGTATGTATGTATGCATGTATGCATGTATGTATGTATGTATGTATGTATGTATGCATGTATGCATGTATGTATGTATGTATGTATGTATGTATGCATGTATGCATGTATGTATGTATGTATGTATGTATGTATGCATGTATGCATGTATGTATGTATGTATGTATGTATGTATGCATGTATGCATGTATGTATGTATGTATGTATGTATGTATGCATGTATGTATGTATGTATATATGCATGTATGTATCTTTCCAGGCCACAAATCTCACCTGTTATTTTACCTAACCCAAAAATCTTGGGTGAATCCTCCACGACATCGCTTCGTCTGACGTACCTTGAATTTTTAATTGGTTTTATTAGCTATCAGTAGTCGCCACGTAGCTGACGAAGAGAAGGCACACACAGTTGCCTGTCTGACTAGTCAAAATAAACAGCTGATTTGGCAGTCAACTCCCCCGCCACATATCGAACACATTTACAACAGTGCTTGAACTATTGGATGCATGCATCAATTAACTGCCGCTGGACAAAAATTGTGCAATATTTCTTTCAAGCCAACCATCATCGGCGCAGTATTTTCTCAGAGTTTTTCCAGAAGAAACAGCACCATACTCAACATTCACGCGGACACCTGACAATCAGTGTTCAAAAAGTAATTTTTTAGTTGGATGTACACAAATTGAACACAGGGTCAGTGCATTAAACAACTAACGCCCCCATATATCTTGCTGGTGCACGTTATTGGCTTGTCCAAAATATCCTCTCCATTCATTTCCCCCAACAGAACCATGTTACCTCAATGGACTCAGTTTCCCGGGATTTGTGGATCTTTGTGTTCAGTTGGCAAACCACTGTTTTCCAATGGACTCCAAACCAAGATTGACCTCTGGGACGATCCATCTCCCCGAAATTCCATTGCTTCCGCAACCAATGAACGAACATGATGTCACGTTTTCTAATCGTTCAACCCATCTGAAATCACACGCTGCCACAGTTCTACGACGCCCAGAGCCGAAAAAATCTGTTGCGACAACTACGTCAGAGACGGAGACATCTAAGTCACAGCTGCCACCAGTAAATCATGGTCAAGCAAGGATCAATTGTTCAATTTCGAAGTCCACTGAAAAAGTCACACTTCCCCCACCATCGTCGATCACCGAGCCACCATATGTGTCACCTGGCTATGAACTGTTTGACATCAGCATAAACCGTCCGATTGCCGATTCCTCATTTTTAAGCCTTCTGCGTTTCCTGGAGCACTGTTGTATAACCACTTTGCAACTGTGAAGCCACGATACGACAACTGGTGGCTTGCTGCCCAAACTTCCCAAATTATCACTCCAAACTCTCGTGTAAATGATGAGTAGCACATTGGTGTCCCAGTTTTTTGTTCACTTGTAAATCCTTGCTTTTCCTAACCGCGGCTAAGCCGAGCCATAGAAATGTCACTGGCGCGCAACTTATTCTATCGGAAGTTTGCGAATAAACCTCATCTCATGCAGCATCATTTCCAAACTTGAATGCGGAACCAAATCGAATCGCTTGTTGCAGCAACCAAATGGTTTGCAACTAAGGGAGAAGCGGAATGACGCTCGTTTAGTCTACACCGGGAAATGAAATGAGTTGCTCATTTTCTGAATAGAATGCCTAGTTTGTGTTGATTCACGTCATCAAGGCTATGGGCAAACGTGGACCCAACGTTTAAAAAGTCTTTTGCCCATAACTAACGACACCACAGGATAGTGCGACCGGGAGTTCACATGCATCATAACGTTGTTGATTGTTGCAATGTTGACGGGATTACGAAAACAAAACAGAGGGGACAGTAAATCGGATAGGATGCTCGAAGAATGACCGCAATTGCCCTTTCACTAGTCAGACTGTCTTTGTCTAGTTTACTGCTCTGCGAGTTTTTCATACCAAGAGGCATAACTGTAGGAATTGGTCTGAGTGCCATGCAGCTGGCATTCCACTTCTTGTGCATCGTTTTTTTTATTCTGGTATATGACGCATCCTTCATTGACACCCTAGACAAAACAATATTCATATGGGCGAGATAGCTCGGTGGTTAGAGCGCAAATTTACTGATCGGAAGGTTCGTGGTTCGAACACGACCTGTGCCTCTCGACTTCCCCTTCGGCAACCTGGTAGTATCGGCGCCCTCGTGCTTCCTTCGGGTGTCATGGCAGTTAGGCACCGAAAGGGTGCTACAGCTGAATGACAGTTGTCCAGGCGTCCTTACCTTTTCAATGATGTTACTGGACTACCTCTTATATGAATCGGATCCCGTACGAAGTCCGTCGAGCAACCGAATTCCCGCCGATTTGGTTAACTATCAGGAAGCACTTTTGAACATTTCTCTTCCCCAAGCGGGAGATATGGGACATCCTTGGGTTGTGCTTCCATTGAAGAATGTGTCCAGCACCAGAAGCTGCGTTGGTTGGGACATGTGTTACGTATGCCGAACTA